AAACAAGTACTCGTAATCATTGAGCCATCTCTCCAGCCCCTTTATATATTTTAAAAGGATTTACGTGTCTGTGTGTGACTGTGCATGTGGGTATGTATATGTGAGTACAGGTGGAGACTGGTATGAGTGCTGGGGATCTATCTCACTCGGTTTCCCTGCAAGAGCAGTGTGCATGCTCTCAACTGCTTAGTGAGCTCTTCAGCCCTGGCTTTAGATTATCGTAGGGCAAGCATCAGTATAATATTTAGTTTTTTATTATTTGTTGTTACTGTATGCGTGTCTATGGACAATGTATGTTTATGTGCAGACATGGAGGCTTAGGGAGGTCAGAGGACATCTTTTAACAGTGGGTTCTCTCCTTCATCTGGGAACTTCTGGGCAGTGCTCCATTCTCTATTTTCCATCCCCACATCGGATGCTGGGATTATGGATACAAGGCATTGCATCTCACCTTTTGTGGGTTGTGGATCAAACTCAGGTCATCAGGGTCATTCAACAAGCATGTTTACCCTTCCAGCCATCTTGTAAGCCCTGAGGGATATTTTGAAGGTAGTCTACATTTATCGAACATGCTTTTCTCTACTAAAAGAAGACACGGAAAGGGGCTGGTGGGGCTGGCAAGACGGCTCAGCAGGCAAAGGTGCTTGCAGTACAAGCCTGATGACATGAGTTTGGTTCCTGGAACCCATGTAAAGATGGAGGGAGATAGTTGACTCCACAAAGTTATCTTTTGACCCCAAATATGTGCTGTGGCACTTGTGCTACCTGCCCCCGCCACACACAAATTTTGAAAAAGGAATACACACAAAAAGAATAAAATTAGGACATTACCACTACCACATAGGTGATCAGAAGCCCTGGGAGAAGAAATACAAATAGTCAAGGATAGTAGACTCAGAGCAGTGGTTCTCAGCCTCCCTAATGCTGCGACCCTCAAATACAATTCCTCATGTTGTGGTGACCCCAACCATAAAATCATTTTTGTTGCTACTTCATAACTGTAATTATGCTACTGTTGTGAACCACAATGTAAATACCTGTGTTTTCCATTAGTCCTAGGAGATCCCCGTGAAAGGGTCATTGACCCCCCACCCCAAAGGGGTTGCAACCCACAGGTTGATAAACACTGGCTTAGAATCTAGACCAGCACCTTGCTCTCTCCAAGTCTGTAACAGGTCACGGTCTATCTGTTACAGTTGGCCCTAAGGGGGCTGGGAAGATGGCTCAGTGGTTGAGAGCAGTGACTGCTCTTCCAGAAGACCCGGGTTCAATTCCCAGCACCCACATGGTAGCTCACACCTCTCTATGACTCCAGTTCCAGGCCTTCTGACACCCTTGCACAGACATACATGCAGGTGAAACATCAATGAACATAAAATAAAAATAAATTTTTTTTTTTTAAAAAAAACAATTGGCCTTAAGGTGTTTGGGACAAGAAGCTAGTGCTGTCATGTTTGGTGGCCTCTGGACTGGGTCTTCCTCAGATGCCTGTGGCAGACACTGTCAATTCACTTCCGTTTTCCTCTTAAAGACCACCCACTACCATCCCCATCTCTCTCCCAGCTCAGTCCTCAGAGGTGGTGGTTTTGAGGGAGATTGCTAAATGCAGGCATTTATTCAAATCTCCAGATAGATAATCTTCCAGGGGTTGATGAAAAGCAGGAGGTTCTTTATTTAATTGGGCAGCAGGTGGCAGTAGAGACCACATAATCTTCACAGTTCTAAGCCCTCTGTTTTCACTAATAGCAGTCAAGTGAGCAGCGGCATGCTCCCAGAATGCCTTGTTCCTTTTCTTTCTGTTGCCCGGTGGCTGAACTTGAATCTTAGAGCAGTTATACTGCCCAGGACCCTTCTACCTGTTCACTGTTCCTGAAGAAGCCCTCCAAGATGTGATTTGGACACCTGTTAACTTACAGCTAGGTCCATGGAATGTCAGTGTGAGACCAAAATGAGCCATCTTAGAAATAAGACCGAAATGCCTTCACCCCAAAACTAAGGCCTAAGATTTCTCCTTCTAGGAATAGGCCAATAGTTACTGAAACAAGTCAGTCGAGATTTCAGAAACCAGGAAGTATAAAAGTACAGAGTCACAAGGTAGTCACGAGGTAATGCCTGCCAGACTATGGAATGTCCTCTCCCTGGTTTCCAGGGTAACTGACCATAAAAATGCCCCACCTGAGGGCAGCCAATGAGAAATGGTGACGGGCAACCACTCCCTTAGAAGTAATTTCTAGAAGCCCCTAGAAGCGAGCCAATCAGAATTGTACCCATACTAGCACCCCTAAATGATGTAACCTTGTGATTTTTCCCTTTAAAAACTGAGCTTGCGGACAGGCGGGCACTTCCTCCAGCCTCCACTGCGTTGGATGTATTGGACGAAGTTCCTGCCTAGGCTTGTATTGCTTTTGGATATCCAGAATTAAACCTTGCTTTTGCATTCCGGCATGCTCGTCTTTGGTGGTCTCTCTGGGGGTCACGATCTGGGCACAACAGTCAGTTTCTTCTTTTAATTTCTGTAGGGGTTATTCCAAACCCTATTAACCCTTTCCTCTCCAGTGACGTGTTCCTTATATATAAATGTAGAGGTTTGCACCACATGATAGTAACTAATAAGGCCTAAGTCCCATATGAGGTTTTATGAGAGGCAGAATGTGATTCGTAAACAGAGCTAAGAGTGTGGAAGCCAAGAACCTTGAGAGGATAAGTCCCTTGATGTTCACAGGAGTCTACAGGGGAAAAGCATTCTTGTATTTCCTCAGACAAAACACAGAGGTTTAATATATTCTGTAGACATGGAGGTTGATGGGGTCTCTGACTTCTGGGAAGGACATAGATCTGAAGGCATCTTTCTTCTGCATATGAACCTTTACTTCATCTCAGTATGGGTGTGATATTCAGTGTACAAGTGAGAGGAAAGGAAGAATGAGAGGGTCTGTTCCTGGCTCAGCTTTGCCACGGGGAAGCAAGATACAGAACAGAATGGAAGATGGCCAGAACTGATGAGGTGGAGAGTTTGGGCTTTGAGATTTCTTCTTTCATTTTTTTCCAGTATACATAGCTCCAGAGAGTAAGCCACCACTATCTGAGCAAGCAGGACTCAGTTGTACCCGAAAATGTTATTCAAGCAGTTGGAAATTCCTTTCTCTTGGAGAGGAACTACATGGGAAGAAAAATGTGGGGTCTCTTTCCCTCTATATACAGGAAAAAAAAAAGAAACATTCACAATGCTTCAACCTAAGGGTCTACAGTCGATATTTCCGGACACTTTCTATCTTGAATTCCAAGGTAGCCAAGGATTTGTCACTATACCTTAAACAAGCCACACTTCCACATTTCATTGGCTTAAACTCTTTTCCTCCTGGAATTTATTACTTACCCATCTGCTGGACTCCTTAGAACCCAGCTCAGAAAACTGTGTTCTCGGAAGCTTTCTTTCCCTCTGAGGCAGAATTAGTGAGTTTCCCTTGTCATATTACTTGTTTGACCCCCCCCCCCCCCCCCCCCCCCCCCCCCCCCCCCGCATTAAACTGAAATTCCAGATGACAGGGACCATTTTGTTGTTCTGAGGTGCATGTGTCTGATACTTAAAGCGTTTGGTATTTAGATCTTAGGTGAACACTTTTTAAATTTAAGTTTTTCATTTAATGAGTGGATGGGTGATGGCTGTGGGGACTGCCTCACCAAAGATGTCCATTTGCATTACTTACAGGATTTTATTCTTTTGAGATGGACTCTGAGCTCACCATCCTCCTGTCTCAAGCCCCAGTGCAGGGATTACAGATTTATGCTACACCTGACTCTCAGACAGCATCTAGTAGATTCCGACCTTCTGAGACAAAGGGTCCAAACATAGCCAGTGAATGTTGCACAAGAGCAATGGGGATTACACCCGAATGTAGCATGAATCTCAAAAGTTCATATTAATAAAATCAAACCTGAAGCCAGGTATTGGGGTGAACGCTGGAAGACCAGAGAAGCAGAACAAGCCACAGCCAACTCACCTTGCCAATTCCTCAGCTGATCCTGTTTCCTCAGACTGGAAGCCTCTGAGTCCTCATCCAAATGGATCTCAGCTGAACTGTGCTGCTCAAAAGCCTAAAAGCTTAACCAGCTCTAGTTCCTGGTCCTCACGCCTTAAATACCTTTCTGCTTTCTGCCATCACTTCCTGGGATTAAAGGTGTGAGTCACCATGCCTGGATGTTTCCAGTGTGGCTTTGAACTCACAGAGATCCGAATGGATTTCTGCCTCTGGAATGCTAGGATTAAAGGTGTGAGTGACACCATTTTCTGGCCTTTATGTCTGTCTAGTGGCTGTTCTGTTCTCTGACCCCAGATAAATTTATTAGGGTGCACAATATTTGGGGAGCACAATATCACCACACCCGAATGCCTTTTGTTCCAAAGCACTGAAAACCATCCATCTAAAACCAGGACTGGTTTAAGGCTGCGGGCTCTGAAGGGTGAATCTGTTCTCGGGCCTGCGTCTGGTTTGAGAAGGTCGTTGCACGACATCTCTCACCTGCGTATTGCACTGTCACAGTTTTCCTTTATTTTACACTTGAGCTCGTGTTTTACTATGTTGCCTAGAATAGACCCGAACTCCTAAAATCAATCCTCCGGGCTCCGCCTCCAGAGTAACCCTGAAAACAATGCACTGTTACCCTTGGCTAGGGTTTCCTTTATTTAAAGATACTCCCAATGTGGTACTGGGCTGGGGTGTATCTGATAAGGGCACCCAGCCACTGGATTTTTTTCTATTCTAACCCAGGGCTGTCAAAAATGGAATGAAAGGGGAAAGACACAAACTATCATGGGCAATTTAAAAATCCAGGCCTCTGCCTCCCACCCACTCACTGCCCCCGTATTTCTCACTGCCTGGCGAAGACTGAACAGCAGGAGGCGCTAGTGTCCGCCTCCAGGAGGACTGAGAGGCTCCAAGCGCCGAAACCACCCCGGAGGAGCGCTTCCGGCAGGCGAGGGCCGAGCTCGCACTGCGCAGCCGCGGAGGGCGGGGCTGGCCTCAGCCCCGGAAGCCGGAAGCGCCGGTCGCTCCGGGGTCGCTGGCCCGAAGACCATGAGCGCGGCGGGTGGCGTTCGCCGCCGCGCGCGACTGTCACGCCTCGTGTCCTTCAGTGCGAGCCACCGGCTGCACAGGTGGGGTGTGACCACGTGTGTCACCGCAAGTGCGGGATTTTTCCCGCTACGTCCCCGGGGGCGTGGCCACACGCGTGGGTTAGAGCCGATCTGGGGCGGGCGGAAGAGGAAATGGTGAAGGTGCGGAGCCGCGCGCACTACCGAGCCTCGCCCGGGAGAGGGCGGTAGAGCTCTGATCCAGGAGGCTCCACTCTGCAGAGGTTCCCTCCCGGGGCTGCCCCAGTCCAGAATCATGCAGCTGGCGGCGGGCATCACACAGTACCCTGCACATCCTGAAGGCACAATGACAGGAGCATGAGCTACCGGGTGCAACACAAGGTGCCCCCCCCCTTTTTTATAGCGAGCAGCACAATTGGGAATTGAATCCCAGATACCCAAGGCCTCCTCACCTGAGAGTTGGTTTTGAAGGGAGCTTCGTTACTCACTAGAAGGTCTGCTCTCTGAACCATTCCCTCGTCTGAGAGATGAGAAGAACATCATTTCTAACAGCATCCATCCACTTCTTACCGAACAAGGCTTTGTCCCATGCTAGGAGATGGGGATACTGCAGGGAACACCACATACTTGTCACCGCCCCGTGTGTGGAATCGAAAATGTTTTGTACAGTGAGAGAATTTTCGGCAAAAGCCTTGTGCTACAGGCAGTTATGAGCCATCATGTGGGTGCTGGAGCTGAACCTTGGTCCCCTGCAATAGCAGTAGAGCTCTTAACTGTTAAACCGTCTCTCCAGCCCCTCAAAGGGATTTTTATAATGGGGGCTTAAACATCAGGTTAGTAAGGATGCAGAAGATAAGGAGTTGGCTGAGTTGGTATAGATGCACAAATCCATTGAGAAAATTGTTTTCTGTCTGGAACGACAGCTATTTGTAGTAATTTTAAAGTTTCACCTAATTTGAGTGTCCCTGAACATACTGGTAAAGTCCCCACTAGGCAATAGTTGAGGCAGAGAAGAGCAAGTTCGTTAAGAGGTCATTGCTTTTCAGGAGAAATGAGGTTTTTAAGCCGCTGGGGGACAAGTATCTCTTGTGCTTATCATTGTTCCTCACTTTGTTCTGCTGGTGTCCCATAGCTAATACTCACAGTTTGTAGAATTGAAAATTGGAGGCAGGATGTAATTCAGTGGGTAGAGTGCTTGACTAGCATACACCCAGGGCTCCATCCCTGTCCTGCATAAGTTAGTGTGTTACCCCAGCACTTGTGAGGCAGAGGCAAGAGGATCAGAAGTTCAGTTATGTGGGGTTGGGGATTTAGTTCAGTGGTAGAGCGCTCGCCTAGCAAGCGCAAGGCCCTGGGTTCGATCCTCAGCTCCAAAAAAAAAAAAAAAAAGTTCAATTATGCTAAGCTACGTGGTGACTTGGAGGCCAGCCTGGGATACAGGAGACCTTGGCAAGAGAACAAGCACTAACTGTGAGTGGGTTGAAATTAAGGTTTTTGGTCATTTTATGAGGTACTGTAGTTAATTAGGGAGTGTACATTGGTTCTTGATGGAAATGTGGCTAATGAAATCCAAGCGATGTATTCGGTTGATCATGTAAAGTAAAATTAAGCTGTAGATTTCAAAATCCAGAGCAAAACTAACGGAGGAATCTGGATGTCTTACCGTCTCACACTGAGTTTTTCTGGTTTTCTGTTGGCAGCCCCTCTCTGAGCGATGAAGAGAACTTGACAGTGTTTGGGAAATGCAACAATCCCAATGGCCATGGACACAACTATAAAGGTGAGGGAAGAACACTGTCAGTAAGAATGAAGTGTGTGTGGTGTAAGCACAGGGTCTGACTGAGAGGCCTGTGCACAGTGGCGGTGCTCTGAGCCCTTCAGTGGAAATCCAAGACAAAGAGCTATTGTCTTGGTTGGGTAAGTGTTATGGTTTGCCTCACAACCGTCTATTCTGTTAAAGACAGTAGTAAGTAACAACAGCAACAAAAATGACTTAAAGCATTTTCTTTGACAGTTGAATGCATAGTAAAACTGCTGTTGGCATGTCCTTTTAATTAGATTGGGCTGAAACCAATGTTAAAATTTGATTGTAATCAGTGTTTGAGGAGACAGATATGTTTAACCTGATTTAAATGCCATACTATGTATATAGGGATTGAAACATCAAATAGTACCCCTTTATATGTAGACTTCTTTATGTTTTTATGTATCAGTTAAAATTTAAAAAACCTTCATAGCAAAATAAAAAAAATTTTTTTTATTTTGAGTAAATAATGGCCAGTGAAAAGGGTCTGTTGCTTAGGGATGTATTCTATGGCAGAAAAGTAGTTTATATGTAAAACTCCGCTGGCAGTATTTTAAGAAAGTAGTTGTGGAAGGAAAAGGGACATTATTCTTTGAGACATACCTGGTGCCTCAAAGCATGCTACATAAGCCTATTATAATGTAGTAGTGTGTGTGTGTGTAAGGTAGGGTTACATAAAGCTTCAGGAGATCCGAATTTCTGGTTTAGTTCCCGACTCTTTTTTTCTGAGCTGCCTCCCAGACTCAGTGTACTTACTCACCATGGAGTGAGTACCCAGTAGTGTTTGTGTGGAACGGGAAAAATACAGAAGTGTAAAGTCATTGCTTTACAACTTCCTGTGGACACCTGCTGTTTTCCAGCAAAGCATTTTTGTGGGCTGAGTACACGTTCTTGAAAGTAAAAGATGAGTACTTTTGTCTGCAGAGGAACTGGGTCAGTTTGGGACAGAGCTGGGCATGCATGTGCATTTTCCACTTTTCAGGAAGACAACATCTCCCTCCTCTCAAGGACATCAGCCTTATAAGTAGCATCCACACCTTTTTGAATTTGGCTCATTTCCTCCGCTCAGCCAAAGCTCCTGCCAAGGTCCTCTGGACTGAGTCTTGCATTGATTGATACGATTTTAACTAAAATAATAGATATTGGGAGAAAAATTGACGTATAGCCTTGGGGGCCCGAGAGCTAACAATTATGTTGCTAACTTGTGCTTATATGCTGATCTGTTGAAAGTCATACTTGTTTTTGTTGGTGTTTTTGTTTTCTTTCCCATAGTTGTGGTGACAGTACACGGAGAGGTACGTGCTGGAAATGGTGTGCGGAGTTGTTCAGATTCTGGGCCATCTTCCAGACACTGTGGTGAAATCTGTGTTGAAAGCTTGTGTTTCAGTTGCTTCATTGCTGGCCTCTCTGTGTGGTGAGCTGCTGCCATGCCAGACCTCTCTGTTACATACGGATGGGCAGAAGATCCATCCAGTGACGAAGGTGCTGGAAGTCCATGGTGCTTCTGCACTGAGAACAATAAGTGTCCCTAGGCTAAAGGAAAATTTGGGCACAAGCTGCATGTTGTACAGCCTTTAATAACTTGTAAAGTTATTTTACTTTTGAGACAGGATCTCATGTAGCCTACTAGGCTGGACTTGAACTTCTTGTGTATCCAAGAAAGGCTCTGAACTCCAGATCCTCCTGATTCTGTTTCCCAAGTGCTGAGATTACAGGCTTGAGCCACCCATCCAGCTCTGTGAAAGTATAAATATGGAGAGCCTACTAGAATGATAGACACCCTTTTTTCTTCCTTAGATTGATCCTGTTACAGGAATGGTTATGAATTTGACTGACCTCAAAGAATACATGGAGGTAATGTCATATTAGTTGTTTATTATGTGATATCCCCTAAGTATAATTTTTAGTACTCTGTTTGCCTTATTCATTGAGATGCCATGACTTTATGAGTTGAGGTAGGTGGGGGAGTGGAGAAAGTTTGTAGCAACTGGTCTTCTAAGGTCTTCTTACTAGAAAGTAGTCAGAGTTGTATTGTAGTGATGGGGAGAAATGTCACATGCTCATCTCCTTGTTGTTGGGGGTTTTTGCTCTTTTAGCCCCTTTGGGGGGCCCACTACCCAGCTCCCAAATAAATCACATATGGAGGCTTATTCTTAATTATGAATGCCTGGCCTTAGCTTGGCTTGTTTCTTGCCAGCTTTCCTTAACTTAAATTATCTCATCTACCTTTTGCTTCCTGACTTTTTTTTTCTTCTCTTACTTCTGTAAATCTTACGCTTATTCACAGAGATTGAGAGATCCACCTGCCTCTTGAGTGCTGGGATTTATGGCATGTGCCACCATGCCCCCCTCCCCATTTTTTTTTTAAGATTTATTTTTAATTATGTGAACCAATTTTTTTTAAAGCTTAAGTATTGGAAATACAGAATTGAATGAAGGAGTCCTAGCATCAATATACAAGTGCAGGTGACTATATAGCGGCTGGAAGCCTCGAATCTCTGTAAGCTGAAGTGACAGGTGGTTATGAGCTGTCCCTTGTGGGTTCTGGGAACCCAACTTGGATCTTCTGAAAGAGCATTGGGGCTCTTGTCCATCTTGAACCATCTCTGCAGCCCCAAGACTACACTTACTTAACAACTGTGACTTGATGCTGAGTTACCGAGGCAGTTCATGATAGAGATAACACATCAGAATGTACTCAATTCATGGTAGAGATAGTACATCAGAATATACTCAAATCATGATAGAGATAACACATCAGATTGTATTCAGTAAAAAGCTTCTTGATTGTTTTATTGTAAATTCTTGTGTTGCAAGAGATTTTAGAGATTATTTATTCCAGTTTCTTCATTCCATAAATTAAAACTGAGGGATGCTGGACAGTTAACTCCATTGCCCCAGATTATGTGGTCTTTCTTGTTCACAAAGTGGAGACTTTTTTTCACCTAGTTGCTTCCATTATCCCACCATTTCAAGCTGCTTGTTTAGTTCTTCATTTCATCTTACTTTTGTTCTGAAGGTTGACAGGATGTTTTATAAAACGATGTTACTAATAATTACTTTCTCATATTGTTCATATATTCAACAAATTTGTTTCTTTGCATCATTTTAAAAGCTAATTACTGGAAATAAAAAGATGAATGAATGAGACATATACATTACCTTTTCTAGGAGGTAAAGAATAGTAAGTGGTCAAAAATTATTGAGTAAGGGAATAAGGGGATGAATGAATGAATGAATGAATAGCTCTGTGCTTATTAATTTAGAGGACTTCTGAAGACGGGCTTTGCATTTACAGGGGCACAGAACATATATACACGGTACTGTGTGCTATAAGACAACAGTGTGAGAAGGCTAAGCAGTCAAGGATTGAATACTTAGAGAGCTCTTGGGGTTTTTTCCTCCTTTGGTTACCTAAATTATTACATACTCCCACCAGAAAAAGTGGCTTTCTGTGGCCATAGAGTGAAGTTAGAGTCCTATGAAATGGAGAACTTGGGGCCAGAACTGGGATCCAAGATAGAGCAAAGATATTTATTTTCTTGGTATTCACATCTCTTCATTTGACTTATTTTAAAAATTAATTGGTTTTGGAGTTGAGGAGTTGACGTAGGATTCACTCTTTTTTTTGGTTTTTCGAGACAGGGTTTCTCTGTGTAGTTTTGGTGCCTGTTCTGGATCTTGCTCTGTAGACCAGACTGGCCTCAAACTCACAGAGATCTGCCAGGCTCTGCCTCCTGAGTGCTGGGATTAAAGGTGTGTGCTACCGCCACCTGGCAGGACTCACTCTTTTTGTGATTCCAGTTCTGCTGAAGAAAACCAGTTATTAGTGTGCCTTCTTGAAATCAGACCAGGTAGAAAATGAGTTTGTGTCACACATGCTTAAATTTTTGTACAAGAACTAATGGTAAAAATTTAGAAAGAATAAGGCAATTACAGTCTTTGCCAATGACATAAGAAGAAACATTATGTTAATATATGTAAACATCAGGAAGTGATAATCCCCATTTTTTTTTCCCCTCTGAGACAGAAGGTCACTGTTAAATTATTCTTCAGGGCAGAAATTTAGAAATGTCCATCATTTTAGGCCATGTCTTAATGACACAGGGCACTATTCCGTAGGTGACACCGTGCTGTGGAAAAGTGTTTCTAGTACTTTTAGACAGAATTCGAGAAGTGCTAAACTGAACTGTGAATCACAGTGGCTCTGTTTCTAGGAAGTTCCAGGAACACTCTGTTTTTGTGGTTCCTCCCCTCTGCATCAGGAGCCAGGATACATACATAGTCATTACAGAGAACTAGGCCTAACTTTGTTTCACAACCTTGTAAGACTGCTCCCCGGTGTTGAGTCTTGGCTAAATGAGAGGGGGGTGCTCAGAGACTTGGGGGAAGGAACTCTTTGGTGTTTGAGTCCTAAACAAGTGTGGGCTGTTCCCTCTTCTCCGTCTGCAGGAGGCCATCATGAAGCCCCTCGATCACAGGAACCTGGATCTGGACGTGCCGTACTTTGCAGATGTTGTAAGGTGTGTGTGTGTCACTGACTCGTGTTGAGCAGTAGAAATGAAACAAATTAACATTTGATATGATTATTGTGGTATTTCTAAACTACTGATGTAACTAACGATAGATGTTACTGGAATTCCTGTTTTCTCTGTATATTAAAATGACTTTTTTTCATTATTTGTATTTTGAACTTCTTTCCTTTGTTTTCTTCAGCACAACAGAAAATGTAGCTGTCTACATCTGGGAAAACCTCCAGAAACTTCTTCCTGCAGGAGCTCTTTATAAAGTAAAAGTGTACGAAACCGACAACAACATTGTCGTGTATAAAGGAGACTAGATCTTAGGGTTAAATTATAGGAAGGCTGATTGCTTTTCATAATTGAAAAAGCCCTTTGTCCTTTAGAATATCCAGCAGTCACCACATACTTGTGTTCCCATGTTGTATTCTAGAATGCTGAGCATTAAAGTAACTGTAAGATCCATATTTAAATGTATTTAAAAATCAGACTTTCAGTATGTCCTGAATATATATTTGGTGAGGGAGCAGGGGAGAGCTGAGGACCCCCACCCACCCACCCAGGGCCTCACACATGCCAAGCATGTTGAGCTGCATTCCAGTCCTCTCAGTGCCATTTAGAGTATCTTCTGTCTAGAGATTAAAAATTGTTTCATACTCAGCAAAATGTTTTGGTGTGGAATTATTTAAAAGCAAAATAAATCCATTTTCCTTGTGTGTATTCTCTGTTATCTCATTTTTAGCATTTGTTTTTTTTCTTGGTATAATATAAATAGTAAAAATGTTTGTGCAATTTATAATATATGAACCTTGGGGAAAAATTTAGAGGGCACAGTCTGGAGACTATATTTCTTTGTAAAGATTTAGTTATTTTTAGTTGTGTGTGTGATGAAATATAGAGTTTATTTTTCATGATATATATAGTTTATTTTGGCCCATTTGCAATTTATTTGTTGAGTGATTTTAAAGAAATAACAAATTTTTTCAATTTAAACTTATCAGTAAAATTAGAAAAATGCCCACCTTACATGGTATTTGTAGGACTTGAAAGACAAAATACCTTTTGAAGTAATAGCAGTAATCCTGCCTTTCTAGTAATCAATACAAAAATATTACACACAAATAAAGCTTTTGACAACTAAAATACTAAAATTTAACCAAGTGCGCATTGCATTGTCAAAATTTATAATAAAAGTCCTTATTTTCTCCCCATGGCTCTGTTTTTCTACAGGTGCCTCTGGAATCATAATCAGTGCATAAGCCTCTCAGTATTCACTAGGTGGCAATGTTCTGAGAATCCAGTGTGTACTAGTTGTGATGTGAAGAGGAATACAAAGCCCTGTACTTAAGAAGTTTAGAATTCAAACCGGACACAGGGTAACAGCTGCTTGTGCAAAGCAAGCGAATTTGTTCTTGGCAATTCAGTCGTGATGAAAAGATAGTGAAGAACACCAAGTACGTAGTTCAGCTTGCATGGGAAAATTCAGTGATCAGAGCAAGTGGGATCAGTCAGAGAAGTGTGCATAGGAGATGCTTTACTGAGTAGCATAGCTCTATGTGTTGACTGTTTTTAACAAGGTTTAAAACATGTGGTTAAGCCAGGCGGTGGTGGCGCACGCCTTTAATCCCAGCACTCGGGAGGCAGAGGCAGGCAGATCTTTGTGAGTTCGAGGCCAGCCTGGTCTACAGAATGAGATCCAGGAAGGCGCAAAACTACACAGAGAAACCCTGTCTCAAAAAACCAAAATTAAATAAATAAATAAATAAATAAAAAGTAAAAAACATGTGGTTACTATGCATTCTTCTAAGTTAAAATTATGCAGGTGTTCATGACATCTGGAATTCCAGACAAATATAAATAAGTAGTTTACTGATAATGGTGTATTTGATCTGTTGTTCCACAGTAGCAGCTCACATTTCAATAAACTGAGACTATAGTGGATAATGCATGTAAAGGTAGCATTTCCATCAGTCTTGCTATATACCATCAGTATATGCATCATTCTTTGCCTCATATGATTTATGTGTCCAGTTTTCACTGAAGAAACTTATACCTTTAGCATAACTAGAAATAATAAAGGGCACCCAGTCTATTAAGAAATTTAGTCTCTAGGGGCTGGAGAGGTAGCTCAGAGGTTAAGAGCATCTGTTGCTCTTCCAGAGGGCTGGAGTTTGATTCCCAGCATCTACATCAGATGACCCCAGCATCTACATCAGGTGGCTTGCAGCAACCTGCAACCCCAGCACCATGGAATCTCATGCCTCCTTTTGGTCTCCATGGGCATCTACACTCACGTCGTCAGGCTTTGAACCAAGTGCTTTTACCTACTTAGGGGTCTTGGCCCAAAGATAACATTTGCTTATTCTGTATGCTCTCCTATTAAAATATGTCTGTCTGTAAAGCAAATGAGTGAGTGAATTAGTGAATGTTCATTGGAAGGACCAAAGATACTATACTGTATACTGGTGACTTGTTTTTCCATGGGGAGCCAGAGTGACCCAAGATTTTCTCAGGCTCTGATGAAAGACAAAGGGAACTTTAGTCCTGTGTCCTTGTTTAGGAATGGACTTGAGAAGGCCTTCCCAAGTCCATTCTAGTGCTGGAGAGATGGCTCAGCCATTATAGAGGCTAGGCTCCCAACCAAAAAGATAGGAACCTGCATAGCTCAGTTGGTAGAGCTTGAGACTTTTAATTTCAGGGTCATGGATTCGAGCCCCATGTTGGGCTCCTCTTGACCCAAGCCAGCAGGAATATGGACCCTGAACTTTGAGGAGTTGAGTGGGAGGACCAGAGATGAGAAATGAAGATGAGAAATAAGACAAAAGCAATAGCTGGGGCAGGAGGGCTTGTATAAGTTGACTTATGCCAAGCAAGTTTATTAAAAAGTGCAGCATCATCTGCACTATTTGCAGAGGGGAAATGGCAAGGGCAGCAGAGAGATGGTGGCAAAGAGAAAATGGGATACCTCAGATATCGCTGCCTAAGGACTGATAACCACAGCCCAGGGGCAAAAGTCAGGTCCCCAGAAGCCACAACCTTGATTCTTTCAAGGCATTAGCTCCAGTCCTACCCAGCCCTAGACCAACCTTGCCAAGTCCACTCCTGGACAAGGACATCGAACTGAAGCTCCTTTGTCTTTTCATTGGGGCCTTTGAGAAAGTCCTGGGTCAGTCTGGCTCCCGACATTTCTCTCTCTTTCAGAGGCAACGTCAAACTTACATTGTAATTACTGCTTTTGTTGTTTGTTGTGGGAATTGCTTGTGAAGCAAAGCCTTTCTTCTAAGTAACATATCTAGTAAATAGCATTCAGTGATTTGTTGTTGTTGTTAAATAGATAAATGAATGGTAAATTATTAACAATTAAAATTTTATCACACTTGGCATGTATTTTTAGATTTGATTAACTAGAACATTTTGGGACTCAAATGCTGGTCCCAAAGTCATTACTATTTAGAGTCACACTCATCTCTAGGTTTAGTTCTTTTACCTGTAAATGGAATCCTTAGACTAGATGTTTTCTGCAGTTTCTTCCTCCTCTTCTTCTTTTCTTCCTCTCCCCCCCAGCTCTTCCCAGAGCCCCCCTGCAGCTTTGCATCACCCCCCACCCCTTTCAAGACCAATTTATGTTGCCCAAATCCTTTTAGATGTGTTGTCTCCCACTGGAGCATAGTTGACTTACCAGGGGCTAGACTCTTAGAGAAAACTGTCTCTCCCTCTGCTGGCAACTAACCATTGCCAATAGCTCTACAGTTAGTTGTGGGATTGTGTGCCCACTCCTCTCTCCGTGCTGGGATTCGGTCTGGCTTGGGCGTGCACAAGGTTTGTGCATGCTGTTGCAATTGATGTGAGCTCATGGGCAACTGTCCTGATGTATCCAGAAGACTGTTTCCTTATGGTCATCTACTACCTCTGGCTCTTACATTCTTTCTATCTCCTCTTCTGCAGTGACCCCCGAGCCGTGTGTGTGTGTGTGTGTGTGTGTGTGTGTGTGTGTGTGTGTGTGTGTACTCGAGTACATGTATGTTATATATCCTTTTAGGGCTGAACATGTTGCAGTCTCTTGTTCTCTGTACCTTGGCCAGTTGTGTGTCTGTGTTAACTACCATGTACTGTAAATAGAAGCTCCTCATACGAAGGTTGAGAGATGCATTGGTTTATGGGTATAACAATAAGTCATTAGGAGAGTTTACTACTGTCTGTTTAGCAGACTAATAGTAGTAGGTTCTCTCCTAGGGCCTATGACCTGTCTAACCATAGCCTGATAATGGTGCCAGGTGTGGGTTTCATCTTGTGGAGCAGGACTTGAAATCCAGTTGGAAAGTGGTTGGTTATTGTCTTAGTCACCGTTCTATTGCTGTGAAGAGAAATCATGACCAAGGCGACACTTATAAAAGAGAGCATTAATTGGGGGCTTGTTTCTGTTTCAGAGGGTTGGTCCATGATCATCATGGTGAGGAACATGGTGGCAGGGGACTGAGAGCTCTACATCCTGATCTGCAGGCAGAAGACACACACACACACACACACACACAGAGAGAGAGAGAGAGAGAGAGAGAGAGAGAGAGAGAGAGAGAGAGAGAGAGAGAGAGAGACAGACAGACAGACAGACAGACAGACAGACAGAAACAGAGAAAGAAAGAAAGACAGAGACTGGGCTTGGCATGGGCTTTTGAAACCTCACTCCCCACCCCCAGTCCCCGCCCCCAGCAGCACACCTCCAACAAGGCCACACCTACTAACCTATCAACTGGAGACAAAGCATGCAAATATATGAGCCTATGGGGGCCATTCTCATTCAAACCATGACTCTTATTGTACCAGGGGATGTTTGTGACTCTATTGCACTAATGCGTGTCTTTCCAGGCCAGTCATTGTTGTAGTTTGTAGGGGTCACAGCTGGATATGAATAATGATTATTGTCTCCTCCGGTAGTGTGCATTGAACCTTCATGCACTATGAAAGCTAGCTAGTAGGGATGAAGCTTCCAGGTCAGTACCAGTTTGATTTCATTATGTTTTCTGACTCAAGCATGTGGTGTCTTCAGCAAAAAGGGTCTTTCCATCAAATTCTAGAGGGTAACCAAGAACAGTGGCAATAGCCTGTAAGGTTGAGGGGTGGGGGTTGGGTCTATGCGACTTCACTGGCCAACAGTTCCAAAAGAAATAACCCACTCTGGCACTGGGTTTTTTATTTGTTAGCTGCTGCTGTCTAGGAAGGAGTACTTACTGTCAGAGCCTCTGGAACTGGAGTTTCAGATGGTTGTGAGTCACCCTGTGGGTGCTGGGAATTAAACCCAAGTCTTCTAGAACAGCCAGTGCTCTTAACCACTGAGCCATCTGTCCAGCTCCTTCTGTTTTTATTATGATTAATTTTTTTTTAATACAAACATAATCATTTACTTCACATTTATTTAGTTTTGAGGGGCACACATGCCATGGTGTGTATATAAAGGTGGAGGAACTACAAGAACCAGTTCTTCCAGCATGTAGGATCAAAACTCAGGCCATAATGTTTAAGAAGTACCTTTACCCACTGGCCTGTATCTGATGACTTTCAATACCAAATGAGTAAATGTTACTAATCTAGAAAAGAAAGAAGTTTACTGTAAGGTGGTAAGGTCTGGGAAAGGTCAGGGAAAAGGATCGTCCTCAGTGGTACTTAATGTGGGTGGGTAGCAGGGGGTGGTTTAGAATGCCGGAGAAGAGAGGTAGTGAATGCCA